TTGTGGTGCTGATGGAGGAAGCTAGGGAAAAGCGGCGGGTTACATCTCTCTCTTTAGATTCTGGATCTGGGAGGACAGATAGAGTCAGGTCAAGGAAGGGTTAGAAGTGAGCAAGCGAGCAAGCAAACAAGGAGGAAGGAGGAGAACAACAACAACAACAACAACAACTGGGAGAAGGCTGGAGAAAGGTAGCTTGTTTCCATGGAAAACTGCAGCAAACTGTATCACAGTTCTGTTCAGGGCTTGTTGTATTAAAACATGCATTGTCTACGTGGCCAACGAGTCCCTGGGGGTTCTAACCCCACCCCCTGGTTTGCCATGGAGGGATGCAGGAGGTCATCAATGGCCTATTAATGACCAGATACAGAATGACAAAGTGGTAACTTGCCACCGTTTGCTTGTGGTCATTTGGTAAACTGATCAGCTGCCCTGCCAAATGTTGCAACTCTTTCGTTTCCTGAGATTTCTAATGAGGTGCTAAAGTGGCTGGGTGTGTAAATTCCTATCCATTAGGCAGGATAACAGAAACGACCGTTTTCTCGCGCAATTACTGGCACGCACTGTGTGTACAGAGATGAATGAATCTGTCCGTTTTGGTTTCTTTCCTTTTCTAATTTTTCTATCCTTCAGTTTGCCCCATTTCCTCATAATTTTCCAGTAAAAAAAGAAAAAGTCCAAACAAAACTCTGAGTGCAGTTTTGTGTGCATTTATCCTAACATATACATTTTCGTTTGCAACTTTGTCTTGATATTCGCAGTCTTGCAAGCATCGTTCCTGAATACAAGGCTTTTATACACACACTGGGTCATATTCAACTGAATATTTCAGCAGGTGGGAGCAAGCAGAATGACTTGTCCCTCTCCTAGCCCTGCAAGTGCCCTAAACACCCTCCCCAAATCTGTTCCAGAGGGTTGGGAGAACCCTGCATGGCGGGGGGGGGGGGGAGAAGGCATCAGAGGGACGGGAGAACTCCCCTAGGAAGAAAGGCGGCAGCGATCGTGACTTTTCAGTTTAGAGAAAAGGCGAGGAAGAGGTGACATGATTGTATGAAATTACGCCTGGCGTGGAGAAAGTAGATAGAGAAAAAGGTTTTCTGCCTCTCTCAAAACACTAGAACTCGTAGACATCCACATTGAAAGATTTAGGGCAGATTTTTAAAAGTACTTCTTCGCCCAGCGCACAGTCATGCTATGAAATCGCTCTTACAAGAGGCAGTGATGACCATCAACTTGGATGGTTTTTGTTATGCACTGAGTTGAATAGGATCCAAAATGCAGCAGTCTGATTGGTCCTAGAACAATAGGATTCAGAATGCAGCAGTCTGATTGGTCCTAGAGCAATAGGATTCAGAATGCAGCAGTCTGATTGGTCCACAGGAACCACCCAATCCAGCTCCAGGTGGAAGTGAATCCGCAACCTGATTGGCCTACAGGAGAATCCCAGAAATAGCCAATCACGTGGGGCCCACTGTGTAAATAATGTATATAAAGCAGATATTCTGGGGGAACTTCCATTCCTCCTCACCACTATGAGCTGACTAAAGAGCATGAAATCCACTCTCGACTCCGAGTATATTTTAGAATTAGGCAAATTCATGGAGGAGGAAAGGGCTTTCATAGCAAGTAGCCATGATGGCTCTGCTCTGCTTCCCCAGTTGGAGGCAGCAATGCTTCCAAATACCAGTTTCTGGAAATCACAGGAAGGGAGAGGGCCATTGTGCTTATCTTCTGCTTTGCTGGTTTCCAACAGGCATCTGGTTGGCTACTGTGAGAACAGGATGCTGGACTAGATGGGCCACTGGCCTGATGCAGCTGTTCTTGAGAGGGGAGATTATTCCACCGGGCAAGCAGAGACACTTGGGCCGACAGAACAATCTCCTTAGCACTACTTTGAACACAACCTCTAACTTTCACTAACGTACATCTTTCCCCCTCATATATGACTTTCCATACCTATTTTGGGGTTGGAGAACTGCTTCACAAAAGTTGGAGGTGCCCATGTTTTGTAGGAGAGTTGCATTTCAGTTCATGTAGAGCAGGGAAGGGGAACCTGAGGTTCTCCAGATGTTTCGTTGGAGTCCCCATTCCAATCCGCATGGTCAGTGGATGATGGGAGTTGTAGCCCAACAACATCTGGGCCATTTGGGTAAATGGTTCCAGGTTTCATCCAATGCCAAGTCATTAAGAGGTCACTGAATCCCGAATTCCTCTCATTTTTCACAACCGGAATCAGGAGCGCTCACAATGATCCGGAGCTCTGTTTTACACATACAACCATCTCCGAACTCTGATATGGCCCTTGCTTTGCAATCGAAGTGAGCTGGATTCATCTCTCAGAATAACTGACCATGTAAACAAGTGCTAGGAGTAGCAATCACGGTAAAAGATTACTTCTGAAAACAGTCAGCACTTGTGCCATCTGCACAGGCACCGTCAATCTGAAAGGAGATCACAGCAGGCAGTACTTTGTGTTAAACATGAGTGAAGCCCTATTAAATACATGAAGATGAGCACGACAGCCAAGATGATACATGTTGTAACACAGCTGCATGCAGGTTTCAAAATTTGCCAGCGGGAATGTTTGCTTTCTGGCCTTTCAAAGCTGATGAAGCACAAACTAACAAGAGAATCGGATGCAATGCAATTGCAGGCGATCCTGTTACCACCAGTGCATCTTCAAACATCTAAAGTTTCTAAACAAGCCATTTTCTCATGAGCGTTAAGATACTATCAAATTTTATGCTGTAACACACTGAGCTGTGAGTTTGGAAATCTAGCAGGCGCAGAAGCCTGTACTGAAAACTCTAATGATTTATTTGTGCATGCATGTGTGAGAGAGAAAATGAACGTCTGAAAGCAGTAAGCCTGCAAAATCAGTTCTGAGCAGGATCTTTAGAGATCAGCAAAAGCAGGCCTACCTACACTACAGGTCTGTATCAGTTTCATGCCAGTTTAGTTGTTGTGGTTTCCCAGAAGTTTGGGAAGAGCAATCCTGGACGTGGTTTAGATGATACAAAGGCATCTCTCCATTCAGCCCAGCTGATCTCTGCTGGTGAAGGACCTATTGTGTCACTGAAATGTCAGCCTCTATGGCCTTTTGTCCTACTTTACAGTTCTTGGTTTGAAGAGCTGGCCAATCCAGTCCAGTTTAAAGGTAAAGACCCTAAAGAGGGGGAGCAATGGTGCCTTGAAATTGCTCATCAATAGTTAGTACCCGGACAGCAGATGGAGCAGGCACTCAGTTCAGCTGGTGACAACCTTCCCCAGGCTGAAAGGTATTTTATTGCTGTCTAAATGACAGGTCGCCTGATCACAGCCTTGTCCATAGACGCTCCATGAAAAAGCTGATCAACTGCAGGATTTGTGCAGCACGGCAAATGAACATCTTCGCAGTACCACCGCGAGGATTCATATTTACTGGCAACTTAAAAAGAGTTATTGTACCAGCCCAGTATCTATGCAAGATCTTGAATACACTCCACATGCATGTTTATACCTAGTGGTCTGGATTTAGTATCTGTTTGGAATGTTGGAAAGGCCAAATAGAAATTGGCTTGGGGTTTATTACAGGCCTTTGGCAAGAGAGAGTTCTGAAAATAAAATATGTAGGCCAAGTTATTTCTGTCTCCCCTCCATCCTCCTTCACTGAGCCCTGCGTTTATCTACTGTCCAGTGAGCTCCCAGCACCAACCCACCATGTTTTGCCTCCCAAGGTAACTACGCTGGACAAAGTTCCACAGTGTGAGGCCCAGGGGTTCAGTTCTTATCTTGGGTAGCATCCTGCACTACCACCAGTGAAGCACTGAAGCATCTGAGCTGCAAACTTTGCCTAGCACAGGAGATCCCTTGCTTAGATCTCTCAATGCCTTTTTAGCCACACGTTTATTTCCCCACTCTGGAATTTATTTTCACGAAAAGCCAGCTAAAAGTGTCCTAAATCTGCCTTCAACAGCCTGGTGCTTTTCAGATGTTGCTGGACCACAACTCACATTGGCCTCAGCCGGCACACCTCTAAATAAATCCATTTTGATCAGAGGTCTGAGAGAGGAGGTTAATTCTCTCCCTACCCCCAGTGACTTTTTTTGTGACTGAAATCAACCCCTCTCCCACCCAAAAAGCTGTTAATAGCCACATAGAAGAGGAAGGCAAATGTCCGTGTTGTGCCTGCCTGTCTCTGTCCCCTCCTGTTGGAATAATCATCATCATCATCATCATCATTTATTTATTTATTTATACCTCACCCATCTGGCTGGGTTTTCCAGCCACTCCAGGCAGCTTCCAACAAAAGATTAAAAATACATTAAAACATCTGTCATTAAAAACTTCCCTAAACAGGGCTGTCTTCAGATGTCTTCTAAACACCAGATAGTTGTTTATTTCCTTGACATCTGATGGGAGGGCGTTCCACAGGGCGGCCGCCACTACCGAGAAGGCCCTCTTATGGTGCTCTTAAGTCTTAAATGGTGTTCTTAAGGCTTTTTTAAAAAAAGTATGTTGGGAGATCTGATCCTGCATCTCCCATGAGATGGACCCTAAGTTGTGTACCTCATACAATGCCACACAATTGTACCTTGCAATGCCACCATGGAGGCTGGGCCATCACTTTTAGGGCAAAATGATGGGTTAGATTAGCTAGGCAGCTGGGAGACGGAGGGAGGGTCTTATTCTGATCAGCCCCCCCTGCTTATTTGTGATTTGCATCGGGGGGGGGGACGACGATGATGACTCTCTCATTTGCATCAATGTGAGCTTCCTCTCCATATACAAACTAGAGGTACAGGGAGTCCAGTACAGACTAGGAACACAGGAAGCTATCTTCATACTGACCAAGACCGTTCCTAGAAGTTGGGTGGAGATTCCTACACTTCAGGGGGTTGGACTAGATGCTCCTCAGGATCCCTTCCAACTCCACAATTCTAAGATTCTGTGGTCCACCTGGGCTCAGGATTGTCCATCCTGATTGGCAGTGATGTTCCAGACTTTCAGACGGGGGTTTTCCCTGGAGATGCCAGGAATTGAACCTAGGGAACTTCTGCATGTAAATCCGAAGCTCTGCCACTGAGCTAGGCCCTTTCCATAGAGCTCCACTACCCCCATGCCAGAGTTCCAATCTGGATTGGGGCTTTAGGGTACACAGCTAATATAACATATGGTACGGCTTGCAAGTGGATCTAATACAAAAGCTCTAGTCTTGACTCATATAGCAGTTGCTCCAGTTTTTTCTGCACCGTTTCTAGAACATCTCCAGGACATAAGAACAGCCCTGCTGGACCCAGAATCCTGTTCTCACAGTGGTCCACCAGGTGCCTGTGGGAAGCTCATAGGTAGGACCTGACTTGAACACAATAACACTCCGCCCGCGATTTCCAGCTATAGGTATTCAAAGGCTCTGACAGTGAAGGTGGAACATGACTATCGTGGCTCACAGTCACGGGTGGATGTTGGGATATAGTTCCATTCCACCTTAAAAGGAACAAGCATGACTGTTGTGTGTCACATGCCTGTTTACTTCCAGCACAGGCTTGCTGGGACCTTCCGTTTGTATATTGCTTTTGCTCTATTGCTGTGTGCTTGAACACGAAGGGAAGCAGACATGTTTTTCCCTTTGTTCCTGAACTATGCTGAATAAACGCCTGTAAATAATGCTTACACATGTCTCTGTCCGCCACTTCCATTGTGAAGATTTATTCACTCTGCTGATAAAGCGTGCTCAAGTTTCTGAAGGCTTCTGAAGCTACGAGTCGCTGACTGATGCTGTTCCGAGGGAGACCGGAGTTTGCCCAGCTGCCGGCTGGGGGCTGGAGCCAGCTGGGGGCTTGCCTGAAGCCCCCGTCTCCCCGGCAGCATCCCAACAGGCCTTACACCTCCTAAATTCATCTAATCATCTTTTCAAACCATCCAAGTCGGTGACCATCACTACCTCTTGAGGGAGCAAATTCCATAGATTTTCACACTTTGTAAAGAAGCACTTCCGTTGGACAGCTCTAGGCTATAGTGTTATGAGAGACAAAGGAAAACTTTTTTTCTATTCATTCCCCCCCCCCCATGCACGGTTTCCTAGAACTCTACTGTGTCTCCTCTTACTTTCCCCCCCCTTAACTAAAAAAGTCCCCAAAAGTTGTAATGTTTCCTCATAGGGGAGACGCTCCAGCCCCTCCATCGTTTCGGTTGCTCTTTCCAGCTCTTAAAAAAAGGAGGGAATTCGTTTAAAAGCTTGGGTTGCCGCTCCTCTTAACAGGCGTTTAACAGCAGCCTGACAACAGAAATTGAGAAGGCGAAGTTATTGTGTATGTCTGAGGCAGGTGAGTAAAACCAGGGAGTGCCCCCAGATTTGGCAATCCTTCGTAATATGATGCCCTGAGGTCCAGTCGTGGCCGACTCTGGTCAGGGGTCCCTTTACCTTTGTCTTTATTTGGGGGTGCCAATTTTTGGCCTCGCTCAGGGCATCATAATATGACTGCCCTTAGGTCCAGTCGTGGCCGACTCTGGGGTTGCGGCGCTCATCTCGCTTTACTGGCCGAGGGAGCCGGTGTACAGCTTCTGGGTCATGTGGCCAGCATGACTAAGCCGCTTCTGGCAAACCAGAGCAGCACACGGAAATGCTGTTTACCTTCCTGCTGGAGTGGTACCTATTTATCTACTTGCACTTTGACGCGCTTTCGAACTGCTAGGTTGGCAGGAGCAGGGACCGAGCAACGGGAGCTCACCCCGTCATGGGGATTCGAACCGCTGACCTTCTGATCGGCAAGCCCTAGGCTCTGTGGTTTAACTCACAGTGCCACCTGCAAAATGGATCGTCTCAATTTTGGATCTTCTCAGTTTTGCATCCCCTCGGCTCAGGGCCCTGTGAGGGGGGGAACCACCTGCACCATCCTAAATCCAGAGCTGGTACCTTTGAAAAACACCACCAAGAAGAAAACACTAAGGCTGTGTATACACCCCTGTTCTCTCTGAATCCAGAGTGTTCCCATTGCTTTGAAGCCACAATCCACATCTATCCGGTAGTTCCTTGAGAAATATTGCGTTTTGATGCATTTCCCTGCAAACTAGCTTCAATCCGATTTGGAGACGTAAGCCCTATGAAGACATCCGCACCCCTTCTCCACCCACTGGTGGTACAGACAGAAAAGTGGGCAATTTGGGGGGGGAAAGCATCCTGCCATACCGATTTGTGCAACAGCATGCAAATGCAGTTTGAAACGCAGCGTGGGGAAATGGCCTCACTGTGTTTTAAGCAGGTCATGTGAACACAGCCCGGGTGAAGCTAGGGGATGGGTACGACGGACGAGGACATTATGATGGGATGCGGTCACCCTTGCAGGGTGCGATGGATGATGTTATGGGATGGACACTGTGCTCAGGAGACGTGTGGCTGGCGATCAAGCGCTGCGAGTGGCGGTGGTTTTACCTTTGGGTGGAGCTCTGCGGTTGGAAAGACCTTGCAATGTGAACCGCTTTCTAGCAAGAGCTGAGCGCTCAAGATTAAGGCTGGTGGAATAATCAGCTAGGAGAAAGAGGCAGAGGGAAGAGAGAGGTGAGGCAGGGCAGAGGGGTCAGCCTTGCAGCTTGTGGAGAGAGCAAAGTTAAGAGCTTGTGGAAGGGGGGGGCGAAAGGGGGAGGTGATTAAAAATTTGGAACGCTTGGCCAGCCGTGAGCTTGCGCAGCAAGTGACTAGCTGGGAAGGTGGCTGTGGAAACAAGGAAGCAAACTAGCTGAGCCAAACATCCTTCTTGTTATGCAAGGGATAGATTTGACTAGCTAGGTTTCACCTGGGAGCAAAATGGAGAAGGCGGGAGGTGCTTTGTGGGGAGGGAGGGAACACACAGTTCCAAAAGGAAGACAAGTCGGCAGGAAAGTAAGTGAAAAGCGAACAGTTAAAAAAAGACCCCAAAAAACCTAGTGTCCACAAAACACTCAAGGCTGCTCACGGAATTATGGACCATTGAGTAGAACCCTTTAAAGCATCAAGGCCACATTCCCTTGCTGGCAACCATCCAGGGTGGGCGGAGCCAGAACCAAAAGTGGGTGGAGCAATGGGTGTGGCTCTTACCTTTGTGCAGTAGACCACGCTAAAGCCAGAGGTTTCTGCAAATTCTCACACCTCTCCATCCTCCAACCAGGCAAGCAACAGGCATAGTCACAGTTACTTGAGGAGGGCACTTGAGGAGTAGGGTTGGTGAGGGTTGTAGCCTAGGGGGAGAATCTTTAGGGCCTGAGATTCCCCATTCCCAATGCAGGGATTGTTCTGAAATAGGGCTTCCAGTGTAACAATATGAGCTGCATGTATGAAGGTGAAAACCCTCCTTCATGATGCGCTCACCAGCAGCCATGCCCAAGCAAAGCCGTCTCTTTGCAAGTGCCCCTGGCGCAGCAAATCCTCCCAAAATATTATTTATTTTTACAAATGTTTGAGTGACTTTTCACAATGCTACTTACAAAAAATAATATCGTGCTGAAAGAAAAAATCACGGGGAAAACTCAATACCAAAAAAAAGAAGAATCTGTCAACTGAAATCAAGATAAATATCTATAAATCTGTATAACCAGTGTCCATGTTGTACGCTTCTGCATACGAAAAGGTTGAAGAAGAAGAAGAAGAGTTTGGACTTGATATCCTGCCTTTCACTCCCCTTAAGGAGTCTCAAAGCGGCTAACAATCTCCTTTCCCTTCCTCCCCCAGAACAAATACTCTGTGAGGTGAGTGGGGCTGAGAGACTTCAGAGAAGTGTGACTAGCCCAAGGTCACCCAGCAGCTGCATGTGGAGGAGCGGGGAAGCAAACCCGGTTCACCAGATTGTGAGTCTACCACTCTTAACCACTACACCATGCTGGTGTTAGCATTTCACTCCTCCCATTGCAAGGATCACCTGATTCTTGTTTATTTTCTGTTCCGTGAGAAGGGAAGCTAGTCTGTGTGACTTCTGTCTCTGGTACTATTGTACTTTTTCTTTCTGCTCTGTCTTGCGACGAGATGGGATGTCTGTATGAGGGCTGCTCCTCTCATACGTGTTTGTTATGTTCTTTAATCTTTAATTAGTAGAAATAAAGTAGGTATGCCCAGATACCTCCTCATCTCCGTCTGCGCTGCTTTTACTCTGCTATACCGGGTGCTCACAAGAGAGCAGCTGTGAGTCCCAGAACACCAGGACCCCTTCTCAGGAATGGTGCGTAGCCGGAGGAGGCCGTGGGGCCTGCAGGAGTGTTAATAATACTAATAACAATAATAATAATAATAATTTATTATTTATACCCTGCCCATCTGGCTGGGTTTCCCTAGCCACTCTGGGAGGCTTCCAACAAATATTAAAATACAGTGGTCTGTTAAACATTAAAAGCTTCCCTAAACAGGGCTGCCTTCAGATGTCTTCTAAAAGTCTGGTAGTTTTTCTTCTCTTTGACATCTGGTGGGTGTTCCATTAGCTGGCTCCCTTTGGGAGGCTGGTTGCCTTTGACTGCTGGCAAAAGAAGATCAAGGATCTGCTCTGGCTAACCTGACTTGCTCATACATTTGAGACACGGGGTTTTCTGGGTCGTAGTGGGGATCCTCATGTAATTTAACCATAAACTCTCCCCTCCCCAAGAAATGCTTTCTACCTTGAAATCTGAAATGGTGTTGCCAGCAGCAGGGTCAACGACGCGGCACAGGAGCAGCATCAACAGACAACAACGGCAATGAAGGGACAGAACAGGAATGAGGAACCTGTGCTCTTCCCTCCGTCCCCCAGATGTTGAACTCTGGCTTTCATCCTGGCTGGGGCTGATGAGAGATGGAAGGGCCACAGGTTCTGCATTCCAGGGGGGAAAGTGGGGTCCATTGAAGGTGTCTTGCCCAAGCCCCCCCCCCCATATCCTGGAGTCAACACTGCCTGGCAATACTATCTTGGGGAGCCATAAAGCAACTATAACCAAAACGTCATGGCCCCTCCTTGTTATTCTGCAAGAGATGAGTCATCTAGGTTAGCTCATGCCAGAGTGCCATCGTTTGCACACTAATTTACCCCCCCTTTTTTTAAAGAAACATATTGCTTTTCCTTATGACACACCTGTGAACTAGGTTCAAGCTTTTCACGA